TCAACTTTTCAAAAGTCGTCAGGAATCAGCACCATCCAACCGTTCTGTGGTGTAAACGTCTAACTCCTCATCAGAATTTTCCAGTTTTATTAAACATTGTACAACAGTACAGTTACAGCTTCTTCGAAGCAGCTCCTGGTTTTACCTGTCCTTCCACAGAGCCATGTTGATGTCTGATAAAAGTAACAGGCAGTAATGAAAGTCAGACTTTAACAGACCGTCATTTACTAAAGTGCCTTTATTAGTACTTTTTTATTGTCCAGACGGAGAAAGTGCCCAGTAAAACGAAAGAAGGGTCCACAAGAACGTCCTTCACACTAAGAATACCTGTCTGTGTTCTCTCTGTTCACATCACTTTGATGTCAAGTACCAACCTGTCTGTTGGACAGGTTTTCTGGTCACCACTGCATCCTGACGTCTGGACCATGTCCCATGTTTAAGCCTCACACCCCTCTGTCCACAACAACAGGTTTTAAAACTGAAGTGGACGCAGCAACTAATTGAGTTATGGCTCTGAGTCAGTAAACTACTTCACCAGTGCTCTCACTGCCGTCACCGCTGGAGCCAGGAGCTGACATCGTGATCGTCCTTGTCTGATCAATGAGACTGAACCGAGGAGAGAGGGGAGGAGGGGGAGGAGGAGATGGAGGAAGGGAAGTAAGGATGTGTCTTCAGCTCCTCCCATAATTAAGTTAGTAAGCTGTGCTGCTGGAGGTCCATGTTACGGGACAGAGGAGGGAGTTTACTTCACTCACTGGACAGTGGTAAGTGTGGAGGACGGGCAGCAGCGAGCTCCGCTCTCTCTCATGCCACTCTCTCTACTCTTTTCCTTCTTTTGTTTTTGTTTTTCTGCAATTCATCCTGGATGCACTGACTGACCAACCTTCTACTCCACTTCTACTCAACAACAGAGAAACGGGCTGATCCAGGACCAGCTAGGAGGGGAAGGTGGTGGCAGCAGCAGCAGCAGCAGCAGCATCACCTGCCTCACCCTGGACTTCCACCATTGAATTTTCGTCCATTTCCTCTGCTGCCTGACTCAGCATCAATCCACCATCATGTGTGACTGTTTCCACCTGGCGTTTCCAAACTGGCACGCCGCCTCCTCTGGGACTGGTGGGCATCACTCTCATACTCATCTTTTTTCTCTCTCTCCTTCTCTGTGAATTTGTCTGCGCTGTTTTCCCTCTGAGCAATTCAGCGATTCAGCAGCAGGGCTCAGTAGTGCAGAGGAAGAGAGTGATGTCTATGCGTGTGTGTGTGTCTGTTGATGCTCGGCTCGTTTTACTGACCTGCAGTGAGTTTTGGGTGTGTCGTCTGCAGAGAGCAGGGAGTGTTAGAGGATGTCATCATGGCTCTTCCCTCTGTGCTTCTCCCCATCTCCTCCACACCTTCTCCCCCTGCTGTGTGTCCTGGATGCTGCAGTTAAAGAAACATTTATTGTGGCAAGAATACAGATAAAATAGAGTGGGTAAAACAAACAATGAGAAGGACATTTTCTTTTTAACGTTGTCATGTTGTGTTAGTTGTTTGTTTTAGGGTGAAGGAAGAATAGTTGGTATTACATGTGAAAATTATCACAAAACAAATCACTCACATTTAACTCCACAGGCTGTAAAATACTAAACTTTTTTAGTTTAAAAAAATAAACAAGCCGTCAATTTCCATCAGAAAACATTTAAATAAATTAACAAATTATTTATTAAATATTTTTTAAAGCCACATTAGATGTTTAAACTCTGAAGGGTTTCAAAGATTTGGCCATTTTTACTTTACTACAGTATTTTAGTAGATTATATTCTTCTTCTATCCTGATCTTTTCTGACTTAATTCAAATTTAATTTAATTTTAATTCATGGAACAGCCTGTCATCCAGTTAGGAGATACTTTAATATTAAATCTTTTTTTAGTTTTTTTTGTTAAACTATAAAAATGGTTATTGTGTACTGAATGTTTTCTAGAATAGGAATCTTTTCTAGGGATATTTATATTTTATTATAATATTTATTTTTGGAATTGAATTCATTTAAATTTATATTTTGTAAAATCAAAAAAACAACGATGAATATTATTACATTGTCGATTACATTAATGCAGGGTTCAAAATAGTGACAAATGATTAAACACTCTTTGATGTTGTGCTGTCACAGGTCATGAAAAAACAAAAACCACAGTCACATGTTTCCACCCATTCTCTCAGTCTGGGTGTGAAGAACTGTTGTTTTTCTTTGTTAGTGAGAAAGGCAGACGATAGCCTGTTTACGTCACTGATTATGCTTGTTAAAATGACTGATTAGGTCTAAGTGATTATGTCATACTTCAGTTTGGTCAAGACTCCCTGTCAACATGGTATTAGAAGCAACGTTTAAGGTTCCTGTGTTTTGATGGTTTGGTTTTTGTGTTTTAAAGCATATGTGCAAGAAAAATGACTAATCTATAGGTTTTCATCAGTTCCACTGAGGAGAACGTACAGTTTCCCACAATTGAACTAATTTGTCTCTGCTAAAGTGTTTAATTAAGTCTGCTCCAAAGACAAGGAGAGAGAAAGTGGGCTGAGTAATGCCCTTAAGTGGATTGTGGTAGTGCTCAAGGTCAGAGGAGGGAGGGAGAGAGAGAGAGAGAGAGGCAGATCATTCCGGTAAACTGTTGAAAGTGAGACAAAGTTTGCTTTAGATCAGACATGGGCAAACTATGGCCTGTGGGCCAGATACGGCCCGCTGTCCTTTTTAATTGAATCCTTCTTATTCATGCATGGCAAATAATTGACTGTATTTTCAGTCAATGCCACTAGATGGCATTACACATCAAATGCACTAAATTTTCTTTAAAAATTAGCTTTAGGTTTATTTATATTATTTCACCCAAATATTCTACATCAACCTCATTTTGTCCACCCGTGGTTTAGAAACAAAACAGTAGAAAATCCTTCCCATCAGTCAACATGACAATATAGAGGCATTTAATTTCTGTGGCGACTGTCAATCAGTTTAGACTAACATTCTTCCTAAAGTGTCACTCAGTGTTATTATTCGATTCTTCCAGCTGTCAGTGATCTTTGACATCATTCTAAGCGGCACGACCTTCTATGACCCCAGAGAGAGAATTTGGTTAACCTACGAGGACATAATAGTTGTACGTTTGTCCTGTACCGATTGCAGCCTTGATATTTTACATAACATAACCTAACATATTACAATAAATTACCAAATCTTTGCACAAGCTCCTTTAAGATACAGCTGACCAAACCTCTGATCCACAACAGACCAGAGAAACTACAAAGTGTATCCTGAAACAACAACAAAAAAACTATGAGCCGGAAGTTTTTACATTTTTTCTCTAACGTCAAAATAAATGAACGAGAACAGAAGCAGTGAAAAATGCTTGGCTTGATTAAGATAAACTATGGAGCTAATGAAACACACTGGCTCCTGTCAGAGTTTTTCTGATTAGTGATTAACTGGACTAAGTCATGTCATTAAAAATCACAATTAGTCCCATTACTCAAAATAAACCCACTATATCCGCTTCAAATTGTGATTTCCACAGCACTAATGAAAATCAGACCTACAAATCTAAAGCATGTGCTTTTTCAGCCTTATGCAGAAAATCCAATTTTTTCTTACAATCTTGTAATGATTTGGATCTCTTACTGAAAGAAGCTTGTGTTTGTGTCCGTGAACCAGGGGGTTCAGAAATAATGAGCTCTGCAACTTCTGGTTTAACCACGAGAGCCTCAGGGAACCTTCGTATGAAAACATGATTACGTAAGGGTCCAACTGACGAGAGTAAGTTTCAGTCCCAAGCAAAAGTTTTATACACTCCCCTAGTATTTTTAGGATTTAATTATATATATATTATACACATTTAAATCCCTGTTTGGAGGCAGCAGGAGAGTCTACACTGTCACCAGTCACTGTCACACAACTGGTTTACTCTTTCACCTCTCTGAAAACTATATCTAACAAAAACTATAATTTTTCTTACTAAAATGATTTATTCTGTACTGTTGTGATGCTGCCGTGACAGACACTGGTTTGACTGGATACTAGTCAACAGTTACAGTCGGAGCATGCAGAACGAACAGGATCTGTTCCTGTAGTCAGAACAGCAGAATCATTCATATAAATCCCGTGTAAATCCATCGGATCAAGATGTTTGTAGGGGGTTTATCAGGGACTCTGCAGCACCCACAAGACAAATATATGAGAGAAGTGCATGGTCAGGTTCATGTACATACGTACGCATGTGTGTGCTGGACGCTGCACTGTGATTAGCCCTAACAAACCAATGATTAAATAATAAATAATAAAATGTAATGTTCTTCTAAAGGTTATAAACTGCATTCGTCTCACTACAAACACGAACAGAGAGAAGTCCAGTTGCTCCGTGCTGCGACCACACTGCAGTCATGTGACAGTGTTAGACCTGCAGTTGAAGATTCAGGACTGGACCTAATGACACTCCCTAATTTCATTCTCTTAGCTCCCTGACATCAGACGTAGGGAATCACAGAGTAGATTCACTTTATGTCACAGCTCACAGCAGCTGCAGAAGAGTGTACACAGAGGTGACGATCTGAAAGAAGAAAATTGATGTGCTGTTCAAGTGGCTGGCAACCAATGGCTGTGAACCAACATTTCATGATTTTTTTTTTCAACAGTCATTAAATAACTACTTACAACAACAGCAGTTTTGGCTGAAAAATCAGCGATAAAGTGTGTGAAACCACACTGTGAGCATTTTGTGACCAACTGTACATAAAGAAGACTGAGCTAAAAGCTCTCTCTACAAAGGTGGGACTGACACTGAGTGTTAAATGGACCCCAGGGCTAAATTATTTAAGACCACAGTATTGATCTTTGTCGACACAGCCAGCACTTGTACAGCACACAGATTTTCCACACCGTCTGGAGAATCTATGGAAGTTTCACATGTTTGAACGTGAGAAAAAAAAGGATTAGCAACAAAAATTGAAAACACAAAGTGAAAGAGTGAAGAAATGAGCAGCTCTTAGTTTTTAAGCTCTTCTCTGGTGTTTGTCCCTGGTATTCTTAGAGCACACACACAAAATTAACTAAATTCAGTTACAGTAAACTCATTTTGTTTGTAAGGCATGGGTAAGTGGTTAAAATAACCAAACACCAGCAGATGGTGTAGGATATCTATTCTATATCTATCTATCTATGGATATACTATATACACACACACACATATATATATATATATAGAGAGAGAGAGAGAGAGAGAGAGAGACAGAGAGACAAAGAGAGAGAGAGCAAACTTGATAACATATTTTTATGTCACTCTCAGTTATATTGAAATGTCGTTCCAAAAGCTGGTTCACGTTGAAGATGTTAATAATTCAGTTACCAGTAGTTAGTTTGTGACCAAATCACACAAGTTCCACCCAGGTATGGCTGTCAGGAGTGACACGCCTCTTATAGATCCAGGTGTAAGAAAATCATTTGGCAGTGACACTGACAGTGAGGAAGGTCTGAGGACAGTTTGGACAACAGTTTATAGAGGAATAGCACCTGCACTACTTTCTTTCTAAAGGTAAACAAACCGCAACAGCAGGAGGAGGAGGTAGGTGATCTGGATCTTTGTTTACCAGAGTGGACTCTGAAAATCACATTCAATTCTAAAAAGATTTGTCAGAGGAGGTGTGAAAAAGACGGATGTTGATACGTTTTGATGGTCGGGATACCAGTCCATGCAACTTTCAATGTTTTCGTTTCACAACATTGTCCAGTCCTTGGTCTATTCACTAACTGAAGTGTAAATATTTTTGAATCTAAAAAAAACCCGGAAAGATAATTAAAATTATCTAAATTTTAATTATTTAGTAAATTAGTTTTGGGGTAATTAGTTCCAGTGAAGATTATTTACAGTATGTAATGGACCAGACTCATCTGCAGACCAACTTTCCCTTTTTGGCAGCTTTTTTTTTTTTTTGAGGGCTAAGATGAGCTACATTTGAATCTTTGGGTCGATGCAGTGCAGCACTTAGGCAGCACGAGTCCCGAGGGGTTTTACTGCCAGGAAGAACTCTAAATAGTCTCATCATCGGCTCCAGTGACTTCTGAGCATGAAAACAACAAGCAGATATCAGACAGGGTTGAAGTCTCAACTTACTGCTCCCTAAAAATAACGAGTATTGTTCATAGATGACTTAAAATCACTTAATCAAGTATTTATATTCCTAATACTGACAATTGTGATTTACTTGGTGTTTTTTTTAGTGTGAACACGAAGACAGGTTCCCTTTTGAAGATGTGAATTATTTGTTAGATGTTACATTAACAGATATATGAGCACACCGTCAGGCTACGTTTCATTTTGTTGTATTGTTTAGATTGAGGGAGTAATTGTCAAACATTATTCAAGTTGCATGACTCTTTAACTCTAATTTAGGTTTGTATCTGTTGATGTATCAGGGAAACATCACATTTTCATCAGCAGATCATCAATAGTGGATGTGGCCGACTTACATTATCAAGTGCAACTGAAGCCAGGCTAAAACCACTGGTTGAGGTCAACAGATGACAGTAGAACAATAGGTTAAGTCTCATAGTGTTTAGTGATCTTTTGAATTCTGTTTTTTTATTTATTTATTGCTGAGCAGGTCCTGGTCGGAGGCTGCAGGGACCAGAACCCAGTACAGGGGACAATTCAGTGAGTCCATTTTTATTTTCATTTTGCCTACAAATGTTAAGATTAAGTGTTAGTTAAACTAACCTGTTGAGGTGTCAGTTTGTCTTGTCTACAGGTTCCAGTCCTAACCTGAAATGACTTTTACTTTATTCATTTAAGAGAAAAAAGCACCAGCATATTTGAGGTCAGCATTGTGTGATTGTGGTTATGACTGACCTTGCAGGTATGTGACGAACCAGCTCAGTTCACTGAGGAGAGACCACGCCCTCAAGGATCGTCCCCTGTCGAGGAGTTTCCTGAAACGGAGAAATTCGACAGTGACAAAGAGGTAGCCAACTAAACACATTAGTCTGTATAGGTGGGCTCAGTAGGACCGCTATGTTTCAATATCAAAGTTAGTGTACATAAAAAGCTGCTTAATTCAAGTGATTTTAATGATGACATTTAATTGTTTGTGACCATCATGAAATAGTGTAAATCATAATGTTCTGCATTGATTAAGGATACTTTCTAGTTTGTTACAAATGTCAGATTTAAGAAGCATACATTTAGTCATTATTTGAAACTGTGTTAACTATATTTCCACAAAGATGTCTTCTACTTAGATGTAATGTCAGCCTTTTCTAAAACATTAAACAAATGTTTACGCCACAGAGATATTATTTATAGCCTTTTATGTTTGATGTTGTACTCATCCACAACTAATCTTTTGTGTTTTTACCAAAAAAAATTAACACAGGATCTTATTGTACAGATAAAAAAAAATAGTTGTTGGACAAAAATAAGTTAAAGGTTTCTAATTCATTCAGTTCTATGTGGCATCTGCAATATTAATGCATCTGAAAGGTCATAGAAATATTTTTGATGCAACAAAGATATATATGAATAAATGTTGACTACAAAGAATGAATGGAGATTGTTTTTCTCTACTTGCA